AGCCCAGTGTGACATTTCTTAAGGCTTTCAGAGTGTACAGCTTCACCCACTTCTAAGCCCCCTGGATAGGAGAAAAGGAAGACGGGAAGGCTCACTCAAGGCCTTTGCCTTGGACGCTGCAGGACAGAGTGCCGGCATCTGGGGTCTGTACATGGGTCTGGGACCGTTCACTAACTTTACATTATAGTCCGTGATCCCCCCCAATTATAAGAGTACTTCATTTGTAAGTCTGGTGTACAGAATTTCTGGGTAAGGACCTGGTATCAGATCCGGTGGTACTATCTGCTCAAGTCTGCTACTGTGCGTGCTGTGGACTCAAAGTCCTGCGCCACCCTCACTACTAGCCCTGCCCTTCCCTTCCCACACGCCCTCCTCCACCCAGAGAGGCAGGCTCAGGGAAAGAGAGGGGACTGCCACATGTGCAGTGCAAGGAGACAGTCTTCCCAATTTGGATAAGGAATGAAGTGGTGAGATTGATATTTTACCAACCAGAATACTTTTTGGCTTTAGGACAAACATACTATTTTCTTCCCTGTTTTTAAATGGTGTCTGAAAATGAATCCTTTACTGATTTCTTGGAGTTTATATTATGCTATCCTAAACTTATCTTTGCAACAAGAGCAAAGATGTTCTCATTTCTTCAAGTATTTTTAGATCTCTGCCTTAGGAACAACTTTAGGCCCTGCCTTATACCATATGGCAGGGACATAAATGGTGGGAGCCTGGCACCCCTGGGAAATGATGATGGTGATGGTAGTTGTGATGGTTATTGTGGTGGTAATGATAGTGATAGTGGTGATGATGCTGATAGTTATGGTGGTGGTGATGGTAAGGATGATGGTGAAGGTGGTGGTAATTGTGATGTTGGTGGTAATTGTGATGGTGGCAGTGGTGGTGGTGGTGATGCTGATTGTGGCAGTAATGGTGGTGATGGTGATGGCAGCCGTGATGGTGATGGTGGTGGGGGTGGTGATGGTAGTGATGATGGTGATGGTGGTGGTGGTGGTGGTGATGGTGGTAATGGTGGTGGTGATGGTGATTGTGGCAGTAATGATGGTGATGGTGATGGCAGCCGTACTGATGATGGTGATAGTGATGGTGGTGATGATGGTAATGATGATTATGATGGTGGTGGCAATAGTGGTGGTGGTGATGATGGTAATGGTGGTGGTGATGGTGGTTGTGATAGTGGTGGTAATAGTGGTAGTGGTGATGGTTGTGATGGTGGTGGTGGTGGTGATGGTGGTGATGGTGGTTGTGATAGTGGTGGTAATAGTGGTGGTGGTAATGGTTGTGATGGTGGTGGTGGTGGTGGTAATGATGATTGTGATGGTGATGGTGGTGGTAATGACGGTGGTGGTGGTGGTTGTGATGGTGGTGGTGGTG